ATTTTAAAAGAGAACACTTATGAATATCGTTTTATTTATATATTTTAATGGTTCAATTCAGGTTCAAGTTAGAACCGCAACTATAAAATTATGAATCGTATTATGAAGTATTATTTATCTTTGTTAGAAATTGGGCACCCATGTGGCATGACCTTTGACCCTTTTTATAGCGATCCCGGTTTTCCCTTTGTTGTTTAACTGTATTCCGAACTTGGTTCCGTGGACGGGTTGTTGTCTTATTCTCATTCCTATCCCTTACTCCTTGTATTTGAGTCTTGGGTTGAGTTGGGTAGGTTTGAAATAGGTTGGTTGTGCTTAGAAACCAAGAGTAGATGCCCAGAATTTGGCCTTCACGCTCGAGCGGGCCCTTTGTTTTTGCTTCTATGCTCGAGCAGGCATTTTGACGCATGAGCGTGATTTTCCATCTTCTAGTATTTTTTTCTCTGCAGGTCATCGGACGCTCGAGTGGGGTTTTTGATGCTTGAGCGGGCCCCTTTGTTTTTGTTCCTCCGCTCGAGCAAAGATTTTGATGCTCGAGCGGGGACCATGGCCTGCAAAACTTCTGGAAGGGTGCATTCAACGCTCGAGCATCACTTTTCACGCTCGAGCGTAAGTCTGTGTCTGACGCTCGAGCGGGGAGTTCCATGCTCGAGCGGGGCGACTTTTATATCAGTCCGAATTTTGACTTTTTGGATCACTTTTTCAACTTTCTTTTTCTCTCTAACTTTTCAAAACCTCCATTGGAGAGCACATCACTCTAAACTTCAACTTCTCTCCAATGGTTGATCTAGTTTGAGTGATCTCCTACCTTAGTTCCTTTACAAATAGTGTAGAGCTTAGCTTGGGCTACATTTCCATCTGAAAATCTTGGGATTTGGAGCATTTCAAAATTCTTCATCTTCTTCTTTTGGTCTCATCTTTCGAGGTAGGGATAACTACTCATTTTTAGGGTCTTTGATATAAACTTTTAGTCATTTTGATATAATGTTGAAGTTGGGTAATTTTGGGTGTTAGGGTTTCAATTGTTTAAAGAGGGGTTTTGTTCTTTGGGCCATTACTTATGTAGTTTAGGTCTCAAATGAGGTTAATGTTGATATTTGGGCCATTTGGTCAATGTTGAGAAAGAGGAGAGAAAACACTAATTTTTGTTAGGAATTAATTTATATAATTAATTTGGAAATGTTATGGAAATATGAATTTGAGTTGGGAATAATGAAATTGGATCATTATGTAGTAGAATGGTGGAGTTTGATTTAATAATCACTCACCTTTGAGAATTATCGATAATTTATCTGTTGATGCATTTATTATCTGTTTAGAAATAAGTACTTTGGGCTATCGGTGGAGGATAGTCTTGATTGTTGTAGACATTGCATGATGACTAGGTGAATTAAAACTAATCAATTTGAGTATGTCATTGAGTATGACGGTTGGAATAATACATCGAATATGTGTATTGATTGGTCATTGTATATGATAAGTACTTGAATACATGGGTGCCAAATCCCGCAGATGAAATTTTCGTAAAATGGCAATTCGAAAATATTTATACATGGGTGCCGAGTCCCGTGGACGGAATTTCTGTAAAATGGCAACTAGAAAATAATTATACATGGGTGCCGAATCCCGCGGATGAAATTTCCGTAAAATGGCAGTTTGAAGTATTGTTGGCATGAGATGTAGTCTCATTTAAGTTGTTTGGCCAGGTTCTGAGCCGTGTTTATAAGTTGAGAATTGGATAAGTAAAGGATTATGGAACTAGATTGTACTGCATGTTGGTTTTTATCAGTTAAACATTTATCAAATGCTAATGTTTTAGTTATTGCCCATATTATGTTTAGCATATCTCTACTGGGTGTTGGCTCACCCTATATGGGACATTATTTTTAGGTTCAGGTGATATGCCACCTCCTAGGACGTAGCTTGAAAGGCTAGAGGCTGAAAGACCTTTTTTAGTTATCTTTTATGTAATACATGTATATCAAGCCATGGGCTTATTTTGTGTAAAGAATTAGAACTCTACTTTTGTTAAACCCAAGGGTTGACTTGGAAAGTTGTAAGCCTACAGGGCATTTACTTTTGTCGTCAACATGTAATATCTCTTGTAAGAATACTCTAATGAATGGCATTATGTTTTACTCTCTTAAGTTTATGGATGTAATGAATGCATGATTTATAGGTTTATTTTGAGGGCGTTACAACTTGGTATCAGAGCGTACCGGGTTTGAATACTTTGGGTACGTGGGAAGTGACTAGTATCATAATGGGTTTATCTCGCTTGTTAGAGACTTAGATGTAATGTTATGTGCTTATGTGACAACATGTTTATGTGGCTATATGGGTATTGGATTTAGTTTCTAGGATGTTGATTGGATCCTTGGATTTCTGTGAGTCTTGTTGGAAAAGCATTTGATGAATGCTGTTTCTAACCGGAACTCTAGTAATGCCTCGGAACTATCATTATCCAGAAATGAAATTCGTAAGTGCTTTTGTGATTATGTGTTTATGTGGAGTGAATTACAGTTGTCTATTGCATTAGGACGAGAGTGTTATAGCTTCGACACATTTATGAATGTTGTAGACACCCCATTTTTAACCGACCATAAGACTCAGATGTCACTGATTGAGTGCTTGGTGATGTTGCATAATGTGCTCGTTCAGAAGTTTCAGAGTCACGGCCGCGAGCCCTGCCTCCGGACTTCCGAACCCTCTTTTGTGCCTTGCCTCGGTTTGCGAACCAGACTCGGTTTTCTCTGTTTCTTTTCCTGAGGGGAGGGAGAAGTCCCGTAGACCATCTCTCAGTGGCCGTGGGCTACATTTTGTGGCTATAGGCCATTTTGCCCATTTCGGGGCCCGGTTCCCGGTTTTCGGAGCCGTTAGGCCGTGTGCCTTGGTTCGGGACCGCTTAACCATCTCCATTTGCTCTGATTTTTGGCATACATCTTATTTTCTCCCTTTTGAGGGACACTGTGGTCTGAGAAACCCACTTCGTGGCCGAATGCCACTTTCGGTGCTTAACAACCCATTTTTCGGGACCCCGAACTACTCGTTTTGGCCCCCGAACATTCGTTTTGCGATGGTTTTCGTTCTATTTTGGCAAGCACCTCTGTTTTATCACTGGGAAGGCCGTAGAAGGGTGGGAGGCCAGTAATTGTTGCAGCAACCAGTTATATATCCTCCGACGCCCTCCGACACCCGTTTTTCACACTTCCGGGCTAATGTTGAACACCTTGGGGCCACTTTCTTGAACTTTGAACCACATACCTGTGATGTACACACTTGGGAGGATCCTAAAAGTTGGTGGCCGGCCAGTAATGTTGCCTGACCCTTTTGAACCCCTCCTTCCGGGCTAATGTTGAAATCTCCCCAAAGTATTCCCCTCAT